ATTATTATTATTATTATTTAAATCCATGAAAATGGTATAGTGCACTTTGGATTAAACATGCTGCTACTATGTTTTCATAGTTTTGCATGATTAAAAGGGGTTACATCTTCTGAATTTAAATCATGAACTGCAGAGAGTTGCTAACCTGTAAATTGCTCCAGAGTATTCCTTCAGCAATTACTATACATTTTTTCCATTCAGGTAATTACAATTTAGAAAATATTTTAACACTAATACATTGGACACACTATTTAGTTCAAGTTTTAAACTCCCATGAGATTTTAAATCAGCTTAATATATGAAATCCTCTCAAGACTCACCTACATAAATGGTTCCCTTACTCTGCCTACAGTGAGTTCAGAGAGGGAGGGGGGAAGAATACAGTGTAAAAGCCATTAAAGTTGTTGTGGGGTTTTTTTGTTTGTTTTTGTTTGTTTTTTTAAACACAAAAAGGCTGAAAGTATTATGAAGTATTATGCTGTTCCATGAGGATCAACAATGTCTTTTAAAAGCCAAGTGTCTATATACTTATTAGGAACAATATTCATTTTCATTGTATTTCAAAGTTAAGTTTTATGTTGGAAAGCTGCAACCAGCCCCCAAAGTCCTATTTCTGGCAACAGAAAGAAGGTGTAATAAATACATTTTAGATTTTGTCCTCATTTATTGCTTTGATTTTTTACAATTACTCTTGCTTACTTTTTCAATGAAGAAGGCAACTAAATCTCAACAAAATTAATCTGATCTTTAAATACATGACTTCATGTAAAAATATTTTACCAGGGTGATGTTTATGTTGTTTTTTAATTCTCTGTCTGGGAGAAGCAATTCTAAATCTAGTCTTCCAATGAAGCCACAAGTCTGCCTGGGCAATCAATCAGATCAATTCTTCCACTTCTTCAATCAGATCAGATCAATCAGATCAATTCTTCAAGTTGCTAGTGCCTAGCACTAGCAATATCTAAATTACTGTAAACTTAGCTGCAAATGCAGCCATTCTGCAGCTTTGCCTGGTTACTAAATAAAAAGCTTTCATAAAAAAAAGAAAAAAAAGTTAGCTTAAATTGTTCAACCTAGTTTTTCAAGCCTCCTTCCCCCTCTCTGAATTGTACCGCTTTGAAGGAAAATGAATGCATCAATATAGTAATTGATCTATAGTTCAAATAGTTCCAGTATTATATGGCTTTAATATTTCAATATGGTACCAAAAATATTTTTACTTATATGACCGCACGTGCTCACAGAAATTTTGAAAACTTGTAATAGGTATAACTATGCCACAGCTTTAAATTGGTTCTGCTTTTTCACAACATACAGAACAGACATGACCTAATAATGAAAAACATGCAAACAAAAACACCCCCAAAACATGAATGGGTGTGGATATGTCTACCAAGTGCTTCCAAATAAAAGTTTAGTCTAGAAGCATATATAGTGCCAAAGCTGCAAAAAGTAGTGCTGGAGATCTAAGCCTCCAAGTGGTAGCAAGCAATATATTTTACACTGTAACCACTTCAACATTCCTACAATTGTTACTGAAGTTTCTTATTTTTAAGGACAGCATTTTACATCAGAAAAAGATGACTTTTTTTTAATGCATCCTTCTCCTATGTTTTATGCAATTTTATCACAGGTACAGAGTTTAATACTCACAGTGTCCAAAGATTGCAAAGATTCTGTAACAGACCACTACAGGTTGAGAAGCTAACATTTTATGCTTTGTTCCCTCAAGTCTTTGAAGTACTGAACTGTACTGAGAGAGAGGAGGGCCAGGAGCTCCAATCCCCATGTAGTGCTACATACTGCTTAGAAATTTCACCTACATCCCTTCATGGGGAATAGCAACTCTACTAGATTTCATCATGTTTGTACCGTACTAATCTTTCATCTCTGTTCCAAATTCCTAACATCCCTTCACTGCTGTACTAAGTAACAAGGATATTATCTCTATTTATTTTATTAAAGTTACATAGTTTTCAAGGTTGTTAAAAGCTCTACCAGATACAGCATACCTTTCTGACAAGAAACTAGGGAAAAAAAAAGAACCCAAAAGGTCCCTTTAAAAAAATTAGTGAAAAACATGATGATTTTCAGCTTTATGCAAGAATGCAACAGTATTTAAATATTTGGCAATCCAAAGTTAGTGATAATTAAATCCTCGATTGTTGAGTGATAGAATTTGTTAAAATTTACCTAGAAAAGCTGGTTTTTGCTATGAACAAAACCAGAGTAACTGGCTTAGAATGAAATCTAGTAACTAGATGTCCAGATGAGATGAGCTATTGGTTCAGTGATTTCAATATATGTCTGGACAGTCCGAGAAATTTCTATCGAAATAACCACCTGAGTACAGCCAATCTGGAGTCCCAGTATATGGGTTAGTACCTTGATGAAACCATCTGTGAAGAAAAAAGAAAAACCAATGAAAATGGTAAAAAAACAGGGAGCAGTTATTAAAAGCAAGGGGGAGAATAGCCTGCTCCTATCACAAGACATTGTAAAGAGATACTGATTTTTCTAAGAAAAAGCTTATTCTCTCTAGAGGTATTCAGAACTTTTCAAGTATGGCATTAAACCTCTGATGCAATGGTAACCACTCTCTAATTCATCTTTTTATATGAAGTCAAAAAGGTTTTTGAAATGGATTTTTAAATTGCTGTCTCATTCTAAGTATAAAGACTATATTGATTTTTTGATCATTTATCACATATAATCATTTTCCTTAAAAGAATGCCAAGCCTGTTCCACGATCCTTTGTTAACCTGCCCAAACAATAAAAACGGTTTGTGCTCTAGAGCTGTGCTTTGCACAGAATGTCAACAAATGCTCTGGTTTTGGCCATATTGACTGAGATCCAGTTTATGTTATCTAGAAGAGATCTTCAAAGGCATTAATGGAAATAAGTTTGTAGCTGTCCTCTCCAGCCTCTAGAAATAAAATGCTTTCTCTTCTGAATTTCACGGGATCATGGGAACATCCAAAAGTTCTCGCATTTGAAGGAAAGACCTGCACAAATTGGCCTTGTGTGTCCACTTCACTGCATAGCACTGGCATCTAGACAACCAACCATTTCCAAAAGCAGCAGCCAAATCACATTACTCCATGACACAGTCTGAGTGAGAAGTCACTTAAACGTGCTCTCAAAAAGCAATTTCTAAAGTAACCAAGCCAAAAAATACTGACCATCTGAAAGTAAAAAGCCCTGGAGGGCCACAACATGCTATTCAGCTGCCAAAAATTGGACTTGAAGTAGTTAAAGGGGAGTTGAGACTTAACACTTTATTCACTAACATAAAAAGATAACCTCTGTAAGAGAGAAAAAAAAAAAAAACCCACACAGTAAAACCCCAGCACACACACAGACACACACAGCATTGCCACAGTAGTTAAATCTTGATACCTGTCATAATTATTGTTGAGAAAATTCTGTCCAGGAGAAATTAACAGCAATTTTGGCTTTCAGTGACAGTATGTAAAACTTTCACTGGGTCAGTGTTTAAGTGACACTAGAAACTGTGCTGTCATGCAAGAAATCAAGCACACACTGTCTTGAATAAAAACATTTCAGGCAGTAAAACCACACCACATTAAATACGTGTCTCATTTCTTCCCCCCTTACCTCGTGTGCCACTCCACTTCGTCTTTTGCACGCTCCTTGCGAGCAGCTCTTTGCTTCTCTTCTAGCCTCTCCTTTTCCTTACTAGCCAGATCTAACAAAACATTTCAGTAAAAAATTATCAAAATAAAAACTTTAAAAAAGGCAGAAAACAGGGAAAAGACTGCAGAGAAACAGAATAGGGTTCACTTAAACAAGAGAAGGCATTTGACAATCTCAGTTAAGAAAACTAAAGCCATGACTTCAGAAGGGTTGAGATTACAAACAGAATGTAATCAGAAACTTTGGTGTTTTATCTCTTAGAAATACTGCACAAAGTGGGAGGGAAGGCAGGCTGAGCAAAATAAACAGTGTTTTTTTCATTATTTCACGATGTGCTTTTACTGACAAACTCCAGGGCAGAACACATCTGTTCTCCACACACTTTTCCCAGACAAATTCTAGAGCAACAAAGCATGTCTGACAGTTTCCACAAGTTACCAAACATGCAACTGCACTATAATGCAGCACAGTAGTTTTTGGAATCCATCTCACACACCTCTATTCTCCCAGACTTTTCAGGGAGAAAGATTTTTATATATTGTTCACAAGTATGCTCATTAGAGCAGGATGAAAAAGATAGAGTTACAGGAACTTTGGGAATGAGAACAGAACTACAGATACAGTCATCTCTCAATCTTAATAATACAAAAATATTTCCTCCAACAAACACATACCCATGTTTCCATCTTCCATGTTTCTGATATCTGGACGCAGTCGACAGTCAGTAGGAGCTAGTATTGCTTCCATACCCTTTTCTAGCTCATTGAGACTCACAGCAAAACTGGTAAAATTGTACATCTTAAAGGGGAATTAAAGATAATATGCAAGTTATTTTGGCAAAGTAGCACTGGACTCCCTACACCAAATTGATACACCAAAATTCCCAAGAGTAACCACCTAGTCAGAACTGCTCCTCCAAGCTATCCCCAAAGTAGCATTTGGCTCATATAAAAGTCCTCACACCTACATTTTTTTAAGCAGTCTTTGCTTTAGAGGACCATGATAGATTTTTCTCCATATCTGACCATTTAATAACATGACTTTTATAAAAGAAAAGCCTAAAACTAAAGAACAAGTTCTCAAGAAAGTATGCATTCTTTGCTTTCAGAAGACAATACTCTGGAATTTTTCAAGACAATAGTTGGGTCATATTATAACTTTGCTGCTGCAGCAAAGATCGCCCAAGCAGTAGGCTTAACAGGGCTTGCCTTGAACACTACTCATGTTCGCTTGGAAGAGCCACTTGTGATGGGAATGCTCAACTTGATTGGAACAGTTACCTGTGACGAGTTTGGTGGCCTGCAATTTATTCTCCAAAGCAATTTACTGCCTGGTATGAACTGCACTGTGTCTTGAACCTCTGGCATATCATCGGCCTCATCATTATCAGATTTAATAACATCTTCACTCTGAAACAGAGATAACATTTGGCAGAGAAAACAGGGAAATCATCTAGAGTTCTACCAAGTGACTTCTTAAGAATCTGTTAAGATTCAAAAGACTCCAGTATTTCTGTCTTACCCCTTACATTTGCTTTTCCTCACTCTGTATACTGTTCCTGTCATTTTCATTTTAATATCTTGCTGCTACTATCACTGAATATTCTCTCACCATACCTATATGCAACTTCACTTTCTGTTTAAAAACAAGAGGTAGTAAATTCATGTTTTTCAGGAATCTTCTAGCTTCCCTTCTTCCCCAATCCCACAGCTTAATTTTGTGCACATAACTATTACTTCCTCAGGTTGGAAGGAGTCAGTACTTTAACACCCACAGCGGCACAGAAAAGTTAATGAATAGGACCATGTCTCCTCTTGGTTAATGCATCATCACTTGCAAAAAAAAGTTGATAATTAAAAAACATACATGCTCATGACCTTTTGCAGTCTTTGTTTTTCTATTAGCAACCATTATCACTGCCAGTTTCCTCACTGTGAAGCTTTGTACTTAAGTTTATAAATAGCATATTTCTAAGTTCCTTTGTACTCAGACCAGTGATGCACTGTTATTATATACAGAAAATCAAGAGGGGTATTCTTCAAAAGGCTGCTCTCAGCACACCAAGTCACAGCAGCCCTATTCCAGACTCTGTTTAGCTGCACATAATAAAAGGACAACAAAAGAGTTCATTTACAGCTCATCTAGGGGTGCAGGGATCTCTCATGCTCTCAAACACGGGAAGTCTTGCCTTTTTATCAGCCATCCTTCTAAATCTGTGAGGACCTTTAGGCCTGCCAATGATGTCCTTGTAACTTACATTTCTACAGTCTGCTCAGCTGCTGACATTGGAATAAAAATTTCACCGGGGCTTTCAACGATCAAGTGAATCTCTTGCAGAACCCTCTGACATTACAGCAGGGTGACATTCAGCTGCTGGTCTTACCTCTACCTTCATTATTCTTTTCTTGGAGTGAGCTGTCACCTCACACTGCTACTATTCTTAGTGCCTCCAGGGAGGCAAAATAACTATTTATTCTAGGGAATTAAATATTTAAGAACACCTGACCAATTTTATCCCTCTCTACCTAAGAAAAGCTGCCTTTCCCCTACCAGGGCTCACACCCCAGCCAGGGTTATACAGATTCACACATGCGCTGCCTGAGCTGTACTGAGAATTCCGCGACTGCTCTTAAAAGGAAGAAATATTTCCCAGGGCTCTGGCCAGCATTCCCAGGCTCAGTGCTACAAGGAAGTTGGATGAATGTCAGCAGTAGCAGTTTCACAAATCCGGACCACAGCTTAAGTTTTACATAGGAGCAGAAATGGGAAGAAGAGTTTTACTTTAGCACCTTGCTGTTTTATTTTTATTTCACTGCTTGTTCCACTGATCTCAAGCAATTCTGTGATAGTTTTTTCCATTTTAGGAAAAAATACAGTCTGGTTCTGGAACGTTTGGAGGAAAGAAAGACAGCACAGAACACAAACACAGCAGAAAATAACATCTTCCTCGTAAAGCCAAGAGGCAGGCAGGGCACGTACAAGGTCTGTCTGCACAGGAGCAGAGCAGACAACACAAGCTGCAGCACCAGATGCTTTTTGATCTGGTTGAACAGCAAAGACCACAGATCACCCGGCAGCTTCCTCAGCCTACCTGAAAACCTTTCCTGCATATTTGGTTCTTGTCATCGGCCTGATCTACAGGAGAACTTGACTGCCTCAGGACATGGACTGCTAAATTGTAGATGTTCAGAGGATTCCAGCATAAGAAACTACTAAAAGCCATGACAACCAGAAGGGAAGTTTGGGACAAATTCCTAAAGTGATGATGACAGTTTTCTTCCTTCTCCATCTCATTTGTGATATGTCATTTATTTTATCCAAAAATACCCTATTAAGCAGGCCCAGTTTTACATGCTGGAAGATGGTTCCATACAGTTCAGATTCTAATTTCAAATCATTTTTTTTGAGTATTCATTTTTTAAAAAGACCCTTTCAGACTATTTTCCACATCAAAATCTGGTTTACTGTTAGATAGTTCCCCATCTAAATATAAATTCAACAGGAAGGAAGGAAATAATTGATTTTCATAAACTGAACAGATTTTTTTTTTTAAAGTCAAAATAAATGTCTGTACCATGACAGAATCCAGAGCCAAAAAACAAGGCCTATTGTTGTTGCTCTAGTTTCTTCTCATGTAAGTGCTTCCCATTCCCACTCCAAGCTTAAGCCTCTTAAACTAAAGTTATTCATTAACTTTATACTATCATTTTCATTTTGAACAAGCAAGTGGAGTCTGCAAGAGCTCTGTTGATATCTGGAAACCCAGCAGTCCTCTGCTGAATCCTCCTACATTTTGCCTTTTTCATAAAGCACCGTATTTTAATGGTGCTTAAGTGAACTTTGCAACTTAAGTGAACAAGACAGTCCGCTTAGAAGAGAAGAAAAAAAGTTTCCAGACATTCTTGCTGTCAAGCCTACATGAGAAATTCTAAAATATGATGTCAACAAAACAGTCCTAAACAAACAACAAAAAAAAAGCAGAATTGCATTCTTGCTTTCAAACCCCAAATCCTGGAATTTTCATGTCTGGAGCTGGCAACAGAGCCACTTTCCCTATTCAAGGACAGAACAACTTCAACTTGGGAGTTGATATTTGATGACTTCTTCAACAAATCCATTAGCAAATTCTATTTCTGTGAGCTCTCTAAATACCAGCAGCTCTCCCTAAAGTCAACACCAGTTCAAAGTGCACTGCCATCTCATGAGTCTGACACTGCACCGCCTCAAATACAGCCTGGTTTAACCCTTCACTCACCACCACCTCCCTATTTTTATAAAGATGATATTGTTACAGGGAGATATTTATTTCATTTCCCCTTATGTCTTACCTGCTTTGGTTTCTTCTGCTCACCACCTCTCCTTTCATTCTTTTTGTAAGCTTCGTATGTGGTGGGATCGGTGCACCATAAGCATTCTGTCCACTTGCCATAAATCACACACAGCTTCTTTTTACTGTAATTAAATAAGTAAAGGAGAGACTCAGCTTTTGCTTTTTTACTTCTACAAAGCCTTCGAAGCTAAAGTCATGCAAATTCTCGTCCTTATTGAATACAAAGATTCCTACTTGGTTGTGTTTTATTTTTCCTTGCAGATTTTTGAGAAAATTTGACTAATACCAGGAAAAGGGTTCAACTACTTCCAGTTTTGTTGACATTCAGTCCCGCATAACATATCTTCACAAGTTAATCATACATATTTTTGTCAATTAAAATATGAGTATGGGTGCAAAGAATCCAGTAGTTTAAGACAGAGACCCAGAGCCACATGACAGGTTTTATCCTCATTAAAATTTTCTAACTTCCACATTCTCAGTATTTGCAACTAAAGACTGGAATTGTGAAGATAATAATAATGTAAATAAGTCAGTTGCAACCACTATGTATTTTTCCCTCTGTTTCAAATCACCGGACTTAAGAGTTTTCCTAATACGTGCTGAGAAGTCACTATTAAACTACTGAAAATCAAGGAATTTAATCACAGAATCACAGAGAACAGAAATGGTTACACTGCTGGGAACTTTGCATCCACACTAGTTGCAGTCACCATGCCAGTGCTAAAGAAATGTCATAGGGCTCAGAAACACAAAAGTAACGAGGCTTTTATCACTCACTTCTTGTCCTGAATGTATCCCTCTACTTTGTGGAGCTCTTTCCCAAACAGTCCACATGGTTTAAAATTAAGGACACATTTATCACCAGTACTGTAAAAGAAACAAGAAATAATTTTAAAAACAAAGACTTTGAACATAATAAAACAAAACTCCCATGCAAGCTCCTACACACACTAGTATGTTTGCCTTCTTTATCTGCACTTCATTTAGATTTTTTTCTATGGTTTCTATGGTTAACAGAGGCAGCAGAGTTATTATTATTATTAGTTATTGTCTTTTACCTACAGTTGATTATCTGGCAAGAGCATTAAAAGGCACACAAAATTCAGAGTTACACAAAACTAAAAGTGACCAGCATGAAAACAATATGGCCATAATGATATCAAAAGCCTATGATAGTCAACTAAAAATGAGATAAAACTGAATTTTGTGTATATCTAAAATTTACTGAAGACATTAGGAATAAAATGAATGCAGTCCTGCAGACTGCCTAGTCACAACAGTAACATCATACTTCAAATTAATATCTATTCACAACTTTTTTTTTTTTTTTTTTTTTAAGCAAAATACACAGAAGTTATATGAATGACCGGCATAGGAAAACTAAGCTAAGCGTATTCAAAAGTTCTCTCTAAATTGCACTTGTCAGAAATTCTGAGTTAAGATTTCACAAACATACCCCATGTTGTATTTCACTATCTTTCTCATCAATATGCATACATGTATAGATTATCTCTGTCCAAGTTTCTGCCAGGCATAGAGCATACAGAAACCCTCCGGGCTCCTTTATGGCAATATAACTGAAACACCTTTAGATCTGACCTTGTGAGAAGTATCAAAATGGCAGGCCAATTGGATTAAGGCTCCCATTTATTGACCCAAAATACAGAGGCAGAAGTAGAACAGTTTTCACAAATTTCTCTCCCTTGTCATTACAGGAGGCATTTTCTCCTTTATTTTATATAACATAAAAGCCTATATATGGGCAGTTGGCAGGGCAACTGACACTAAAAATTCACACTATTCTACTTTGCTGCCATTTTTCTGTGTTGTACCCCCTCATTTAAGACATTCTCTGTTATGAAAACTGCAAGGAACACAAAGAAGGTCCATGGCAATCCTCCAGCAATTACTCCCATTTTATTATTTTGGGATTAAATAAAGTTTAAATTCTCTGTCAATAGGGCTGAATTTGCATAGGCACTCACATAAATCTAAGTCTTTGTATTCCATATGCCATATAGGCTATTGCATTTTTTATGTCATTATAATACTATGCATATCATTATAACACTATGAAGAGTCCAATGAAGAGTAAACATTTGTCAGAATAAAGAAAAGTATCTGACAAAAATCAAAGTTTTCTGTAACAAACTTGAAAATGTCCACGCAACAGTCCCTACAAACCAATCCTCAGTTTCATGGTTAGCGTTACCTGTGATTTACAATTTCTACTGTTCCATACTGTTCTAGCCACAGTTTACCAATAATTACATTATGTACACAACACGTTGGATTTGTCCATGTGTAAGCTTCATTATGCCTGTAACGAAAGCAGAAAAACAAGTCTATTTCTGGTACTTGAGATAGAAGGTAAGCCCGTTTTCTATCGTATTTGTGGCAGGACAAAGTGTTTACCACTCCTGTGAACAGCAGGGAGTTAACTTCAAAATAGAAGAGGCAGACTTTTCTGTAGAAACCAGCAGCATGTTATATCTAAATAGAACAATATCCTCCCTTAAACTTTCCACTTCTCATAGAGCAGAAATACTAAGTTTTAGAATTGCTGGTTTTGATTATAAACTTCAGCCCAACAAAAACAGTACTACAGGAATGCACCATTTCCATTTGCACCTCTGA